GCATGTCCTCTGAAGTTGATTACAGTCCGACAGAGCACAGTGAAGATGAGAGGCGGATGAATCGTCTAGCTCAAGTTATGCGCCAGTCGCCGTACCTGCAACAGGTAAAATCAAAGTGCTCCATTAAAATGTCTTGTCCCTGCACAGATTTATTTTTTTAATGGTATGAGGATTGGCTATTCAGTTGAGCTCATTACTGAAAGAAAAGTTGGAGAAATGCATTTCAGTTGAGCACAACTATAAAATGATAGAATTTCCATGGAACCGCTGATAATTACTTGCCGTTCGGCAAACAGAAACTGATTCTTCCAGACGTGTGATTAATAATTCTGTTTTCTTTTTACGACTTATGTGAAGGTTATCAAGAACAAAGAATAAATGACAAATGTCTTTTGCATTTACCAAATTATGAAAAGTGTTACTTTAGCAAGTTCCTCGACCTGAAAGTGTTGTGAAATTTGCTACGGGATCCGGATACAAACGGGTCAGGTCTCAAGACTTTGGACATCTGTTCATGTTTATAAACAGAACTGTCTTCGTTTTCGGCGTAATTGGTAATCATATTCGGTTTTCTTTGTGTAACACACAGACTCTCCCTGCTCGAAGGGAATTCATCCGGCCTTTTTATGTTACTGGGATGGAAGAACTGCATCGTTACGAAGAAGAATTGGTAGGTCTTGCTGGACGGAAACTTTGCAATTTCGATTTATGTATTTGTTTTGATTTCATTGTAAATGACTGACGCATTGATCACAACTCTTAATAACAAAATGTTGTCTTTTGGTATGTGTGGTTAATTTCACAGCGTGATGGAGGCAATGCAGCAGGTCGTGTTGTGTATAATCCAATCCTGTATCGCTAAACCATTACCGGAGGATATTCTAAAGCTTCCAAGATTGCGACAGCTGCCTTTATAAAATGTCAACTTTACCTTGGAGAAAAGTATTAAGACCACCATCATCAACGACGATTAGCAATTCCGTTTAACTCTAGTGGCATTCGCCCCCGCCAACACCATATCATCCTTTTATTAGGGTACTGGAATTTTACTGCATTGATGGAACTTTACAGATTTGATATTGTATAATCAGGTTATTCTTGACAACTCCTTCTTTTGAAATGACTTTGGGAGAAATTTCCCCTTCAGTAAGTTTCCTAGATTAATATGTTTGAAAACAAATGTCCCCTTTCCCCCAAGCAACTGTGTTTTAGAATTTCCTCCCCAGTCCACCTGAGTCACACTTTCAATGGAGCTGTAATATTAGTGTCCCAATTTTAGTTCTGTGCATATTCATGGTAAATTTTGCCTGGATATGTTTGGCTGAAAAGGAAAATATTTTCTCTATCGGTCTTTGCTTTCTCACTGACTTTTAAAAAGATACATTTCGTTTTGGTTCATTTTGATATGCATTCCTTGCTTTTAACTCATTTGCTTAAAATGAAAGTAATAGTAGTGGAAATGGAATAACTAATCAAATGGCATAATTGAATTTGCTTTATTTGCTTAATCGCTAAAGCATTTAATCCACTGGCGGTTGGACAGCGTGTGTCTTTCCGTACCTTGAATAGACAGCGTCTGTTATTGTCAACGTACAGTTTCTTGATTATTGCCACATGCTGTTTGTGTAGAATAATTGATTTTAGGTTTTGTGTAACAATCAACCTTTGGATGATATTAGAAACGGTTTATATTGTTAATGACACATGTAGAATTACATATTTGTATGTATTGTAGTTACATGACACGTTTGCGCATCAATTACTTTTATGCAGGCTATGAACGAGTTTGACTTCGATTAGTGTAATACTCAGAAAATAATTTTGCATACCTTTTACTTTATAAAATGTTAAGAAGTTTAATGTCGGTCCGGGAAACAACACGAGTACACTCCACTTTAAGCATCTTTCCACTTAAATAACATGCATTATGCAAAAGTGAAACAGTTTTCATAGTATTCACACTATGTTAAAATATTGGCACGCCCGTGGTTTATAATTTATTGTAACACAGTCGAGTTCACTTTAACCTGACACCACCCGCTACGTTGTGGTATGGTGCGAAGCGTATAGGCAAATAAAACTGTCTTCCAAAATAAGTTTATTGTGAACCGTTTGAAACGTTTTGTCTTTCAGTAACATTTTATATTGCATTTATAGTTTCGTATTAAGTATAACATATATTTTTGGTGTAACGTTGTCAATAGTATGTTTGAACAAATGTAAGTGGTGGAATAAATCGTGATGGAAACATTTTTGCCTCTGCTTTTCCCCTTTGTTTTTAATTTTGGGGGATTTTTGTAGTGTCATGTCCCATTCATTTCCAGCCTTTTAAACATACCCTTTTAATGAAGATAACCAAGGCGAAGTCTGAATTTGTTAGCCTATCGTTTCTGTGCATGATAAACGTGCCCCAAATGTTAGTGAAGTACATTGCTTCTCGTTAACTATACTAAAAACAAAGAAAACAATTTTGCCATTTTTTGTAGACGTACATGTTTAATTCTTTAATTATTACAACAATTTACACCTAACCATTTCGGGGCTAGAATAGACTTGAGTAACCCATCACAAAATAGACTAATCATCTCCTCTGCCCGAACAGAAGAGGTCAGATACACATGCGAGACGGGGATGGCCTGGAACGTGGCATAAACTGTTAAAAAATCGTGAAAAAGATGGAAAAAAAGCTTCCTCACATAATTTCTTTTAATCTTTAAGGAAACCGATACGCTTTCGCGCAAGATACGAGGAGTGTTGCCAAATGCAATCTTACTTCAAAAGTTCATATTTCCAAGCTGTATGCTCGCACACAAAAAGCTGTCCATCATTGTTTTCTTTTTAATTCCATTTTTTTAATTTCTGAAAAATAGCGCGGTTTTTCTACGATTAAATCTAAGATATGGTAGTTTTATCTTGCGCAAAATCTGTGAAGTACATGGCCTCTTTAGGAAGCGAACAACACCCGCGGGGTCAGAGTGAGAGCGGGCATGACAGGTTCTCCTTCCTTTAAAAAAAAGGTTTCCACGGACAGGAATAATCAGTGAATTTACCTTGGATTAATGCGCCTCCTCGACAATGCAGTACTGCGAATTCACCCAAACGAAAAAGCAGTTTTTAAGTTGAAGTTACTTCATCCAGGAATACGAATGCAGCCGACTCGTGTCCTTGACACTAAATTGTGAATATGATAATGCACGTACTTGCACGATCTTGCTTGTGACTATATTCACGTTGTACCTTTTTGTTGACGAAAGTCCTTTCGTTAAGCAGCTCAGAAGCAGCCACCTTATTTGTACCATACTATTATGCTCTATAGGGGTGATTTTGAATTCGCAATGCTTCGCGTTAAGAAAAATTCTTTCCGTTTAAAATAACATTTAAATTCACACGGACCCACTTCATTTTCTATTTACACTGTACACTGAATTTCCTATAATTTCAGTTCACAGTGCGTTTGTTGAATCTCTACCGGTATATTTTAGCCGATTTAGTTTAAACCTTTCATTACTGGAGACTTCCACAACATCTCCAAACACACAAAAACTTGGCGCTGCCTATTAACGAATGGGATTTGCCAAGTGAAAAAACTCTTCAACGATGGTCGGCCGACCATCATGAAAACGAGAACAAAGTTTCTGTTTTCTCGAAAACTACAGCATTCTGGGCGGAAATATTTTACAGACTAACTGAGACTGCTATGTTCTTTCCTTGGAGTAAGATATTTTGCGATTAGGATTTTTATATACTGACGATTGTATGGAATATGGCTAACAAGAAGTCTACAAGCACCATTCCACCAGCTTTGGGCGCTCCTCCGCCGGAGACACTGACTAAAACGGGCAGTTCTGAGAGCTCGCACGTTCTAGCCTCACCATGGGTTAGAACCCCACGAACAGAGAGCGACCAGAAACTAGGGTCACCACGCCCTGTTCCTAACTCTTTGGTTACACAACCCATATCGCCGGCTCTTCCAGTCTATGATTAACGATACTCGCATAGCCGGGGGGGGGGGCTTTGACTTCTACGCAACAAAAGGGCGCATCTCCGATTTCGCTTCCACTCGGGCGCGCAACCGACTCGGCCCCACCGCTGAGCGCGTTGGTGAGGCACCCTAGCTCGCGAGACCTTAACCCCCACTCCCTAGTTTGCCTATTTATAGGGGGATGGTGTCTCCGTCAGCATGGCCGAAATTTGACCCACTCGAATCCGATTTCCTGGCGGGTCCCCAGCCTGCCGCCGGCGGCGTGCGGCACGCCGCGAGGCGCTGCGGCCCCGGCCCGGCTCGAGAAATCCCCCCCGACTGTGCGGCGAAGGAGACACTGGCTGGCCGGGCGGTAGGCTCGTTGGCCCGTGGGACCCGCGGTGCGTCGCGGTGAATTCCCATCCTCAGAAAACCGGGTCCGAGAGGTTCAGAGGTCCGGGGTTCCCTGCGGCCGAGCGGGCTGGGCGGCTCCAGCCTGCTGTCCATCGGCTTGCTGGCCCACCTCAGGACTCAGAGAGGGCTTTACCCCGGGACCAGTTGGGCCCAAAACGTGCATATTTCAATGAGAGCATTTTGGACCTTAATCCTCACGGTAACGAGCATTCCCATATTCAAGCACAACAGCAATGCTTTCCCATTTAGGGTTGGGGCTAGGGCTATGATAATAGGGTTGGGGTTAGGTAGAGGGTTAGGGGTAGGGTAAGGGTTACAGATAGGGTTAGGGG